GGTTCATGGAAGAGAATTAGTGACATGTGGATCACATTACATCGATAATGATGTTCCAAACGAAATAGTATTCCTACCTCGCGAGATATATGCTGAAAATTTGGGATATCTTCGGAAGTTTTTTGATAAAGTTCAAATCTCACTATGGAGGGCTCACAAAAAGAACTCACAACGATACGATCTTCGTCGGAAAGAGGCAGAATTTGAGGAGGGTGATATAGTGTGGAAGCGTACCTATTTTCAAAGTGACAAAGATGCACATTTGACTAAGAAATTGACACCTAAATATGTGAAATGTAAAATTAAACAAAAACGTTCTCCGTTGGTTTATGTGCTAGAAGACATGGCTGGTAATGACCTGGGAGCCTGGCACATTAAAGATCTGAAACTTTAGAGCGATTTTCTTTTGTGGATTTTTCTAATCAAGGCGGGAAAAATCCTTCTCTGGAAGGGGGATACTGTAACGTTGTTCTATTTAATGATAAAACAGTAAATTAATGTTTACGTGTCTCCGTATTAATTATGAATTGTTTATCATTATTTACAAACTGCAAATAAATTAAAATAAATAATAATCTTAAAACTATGTTAATTTTTAATGAAAACTTAATAACTACTAAAGAATAAATAATTATACGTTAAAAAAAAAATACTTAAAACCTAACTATATACAAATTAAATATTTACAAACAAACAGATCGCACGCAGATGTAATATATATATACAGCGATGTTGGCGCGGGCGCGGGTAGCATAAAAAAAAACGATAACAAGTCGACCGCGCGGCGGCCGGCGGCGGCCAGCCGCTCGTGCCTGTTGCGAGCCACACTTACAAATGAATCTTGTTTGAAAACAGCTGTGTAACGCTTTTCAAAATATAAAGTCTGTTCGATTTTTACTAAGTCTTCGACTGACGATTCTTATTTTAAATAAATATATAAAAAAAAAAAAGTTTAAATAAATATAAGAAACACTTAGAAGTGTAGTGAAAAAATATAATCCCGTACTGGGTAAGTTGTGCATTTAACCAATTATTTAATGAGTAGAAACGTTTGAATTATTGTAGTTACTTATTTTACATTTCTAAGTATGCAGCTTTTGCTTAATTAATTTACTTAAGTTTAACAAGAATCACCGTAATATTTCATGATCAATAATAAAAGTCATTATTGATATATATTTTATATTGCTACCTACGTTCCATGTTCTTTTTTTTATTTCATTTAAATGCCATCAGTTTATGTAACCGTTACTGCTTTTTTTATTTATAACTGCCACTTCGACCCAGATTAATTAAGAATACTCTCTTCACTCCTGTACTAACTAGCTTTGCTAGATTCTACGATTTAATTGCTAATTTTAACGACCAACGCTAGTGGCAGTACCCGACTTCTCTTTCCGGGTAATAATGTGGCATTATTGTGACTTCTTCAGGAACTCCGTACGGATTAAGAAAATCACGCCAACTTTACTTATACTGGGAATTGATATTTGAGAATTGGAGAAGTGCCTTATGGAAACCAGAAATTGAAGCCCGGCGCACCGTAGAATTCACAGGAGTACAGGGAAGTTCTATCGAGTGATCTACCATCAGACCTCTAAGAAACCTACCCACGACCCTAGGGACCTTGACCTCGATTTTACTTATCGCAAATAAATATTCTTTCTTATATATCGTTTTTTTTTTTTTATTTTTATCACTTAATAAGAAAAGAACGTGTCAGTGTGCTTAACTCTAAATTCTCAATTCAGAAACTTGATGGTAGTATGGTAGAGAGATCGAGGTAATTTGATATGTAAATTTGTTCAAAATATACTCGGACTCATTTTAACAAAACTATTTTAATATCTAAGAAGATAACTTTTCAAAGAAATATTACGTGTATTTTTCTTTTATTTATTGCTATCGATTTGAACTTCTTCGTTAATAAGTAGATTCATTTAAAGTTTAAGAAACAAATTTTAAGAACGAATATATTAAATAAATAAATAGATATTAAACAACATCACTTACATTGATAGATTCTAAGATGAGTAGCTTAAGACCCCGTATTATGGGGTATCTGAGACAACGAAGGTACCACAACATCCAGACACGCACGCATGCTCATTCGGGCACTTCTTGTCGCAGTGTTCACTTGAGAAGGGAAACCTTTGTCCGTTTGCGTACTCAAAATGCCTAATCTCGGTTATTCTTGCTTCAGTTAGCTTGTAATTTTACTATTGAATTTTAAATAACCGTTATATTACCATTATGATTTTACTTTTAAAAGGAATAAATTAACCATGTGTTTCGTTATATTTTTTTATTAAATTCACTCCTGGTTTCTAAAATCAGAAGTGGGATTCCTGTTCCCACGCGCCCTGTGTTGTGTTGAATCAAGCAGTTGGAGTTATCTAGTCACCTCCAAAATCAAGTGTTCGTTCGTACGTACAAAACGGTCTTTTTGCTTAAATCGTAAAGCCATAGCACTGTGTCTAAGTCTCGTATAGTGCGGTTAAGTATATTACGACTGGTTCTGGTGAGTACGTTCCAATTTATTTACATTGGATAGCGATACCTATCACCACGAAAATACCTGTTACCACGCGTGGCCAGATGGTGGATATACTTGCAGGATTTTAATTTTACTCTTGAATATCGCAACGGCACTTCAATGATGCACGCCGACTATTTAAGCCGCAATCCAGTTAACGTTTGTGAGGTTCGTAAGCCACGGAATTGGGCTCAAGTAGCACAAACTGCTGATGAAGAAACTCAAAGTCTTATCCAAAAGTTGGCCAATGGTGTACTAGACTCTAGTCGATACGTTAAGAAAAATTATCTCTTGTACTATAGGTACTTTTCAGTTGGAGAGGAACCTAGACTCCTTTGCTTTGTACCCAAAGGTCATAGACTCAGTTTGCTTAGGATATTTCATGATAAGCATGACCATCTAGGAATGGACAAAAGATTAGAATTAATAAAAAAACATTTCTGGTTCCCATCTCTTAAATCGTTCGTCAAAAAATATATTGATCACTGCTTAATTTGTATAACCCATAAGAAAATCCCAAGAGCTCCTCTTCAATTCATACACTCGTGGGAAAAGCCATCTAATCCGTTCGAGGTAGTACATGCAAATAAATTAGGTCTATTACCTCAATCAAATGGTTATAAACATGTACTAATTGTTATTGATGCCTTCTCAAAATATTGCTGAACTGAAGCGTCCCCGCCTGAGATATGTAGTCTCATTCGAGACATCACTTTAGAGGATTCGCACCCAAATCGCGAGGCGTTACGAGAGATGCGTAGACAACGTGCCTCTCAACGATTGAAAGCAAATCAGAATCACCAAGATGAAACGGTAAACGCTAACCGGAGACCGACGCGAACATTTGAAGTCGATTCACTTGTTTTTGTCATAAAACAAGCACAAGCAACTGGCAAGCTCGACTCGGGTATGCGCGAACCGTATCGTGTCATCAAAGCGCTTCCCCAAGGTCGATACGAACTACGGCTGCTGGCAATCTCCTACGGAAAATCGACACAAGCTGCTGCAGAATTTATGGTGCCGTAGCGAGGGGAGTGGACTCCGGAAACGTGCGCTACCTTTTTGAAGGTACCTAAGTTGTTGCTACATTATATGATACGCAAACGTCGTGCCTATGTCATATAATTGTGAGTGCCCTATGATATGCTAACGTCGTGCCTATGTCATGTGAGAAATCTTTATTGTGCTACACATGAATTTAATATGCTAACGTTGTGCCTATATTATATACACGTGAAGAAACTCGTGATACGCTAACGTCGTGCCTAGGTCATGTAGTTATAAGCACAAATAGCGAACATAGTGCTTCCTCTCTGGCTAACTTTGAATGAACTACGCTAACGTAGTCCCTATGGTTTCCTGTTAACATTGTGTTTACTTAAGAAAGGTCATACAACTTGTGTTATATTTTCAGACGCCGAAAACAGTAACGATCTTGACCACACACTCGAGCACTCCGCCAGGAGGGCTAGTAGTGATATGTCAGCAGCACCAGAACCCATACCTAGTACTTCCAGTGTGATTGAAGACCTGCCGCCTGATATACAGGAGAACGAGGACGTTCTCCAGTCAGGAGAGGTCGTGTTAGTAGAATACTCGTAACATGGAGGGAATGTCAGCTGGTGGGGGCCGCTTATAAAACCGCGCGTATGCTCATTCGGCACTTCGTATTGCAGTGTTCACTTGAGAAGGGAAACCTCTGTCCGTTTGCGTACTCAACTTGCCTAATCTCTGTTATTCTTGCTTCGTTAATTGTTAATTATTAAATTCAGTTAGCTTGTAATTTTACTGTTGATTTTTAAATAACCTTTTGTATTACCATTATAATTATTAAATTCAGTTAGCTTGTAATTTTACTGCTGATTTTTAAATAACCTTTTGTATTACCATTATGATTTTACTTTTAAAAGGAATAAATTAACCATTTGTTTCGTTATATTTTTTTATTAAATTCACTCCTGGTTTCTAAGAATACTAATATATAAAATCGATTAGAAAAACAAATCGATTTTGTAGAAATTATTAACACAGTATAATTTGTTTTTTTTTTATTATTTTTTATTATATACATACCCATTGGAGCCAACATGTTTCAAAATCATTTGAATGGTATATGATGAACGTTAATCAATTAGACTTAAAAATTTTGATAGTTCTACCTACAAAGGGGTTCAATAGCAATAAAAATCCACAACATATAGTTTCTTACTTTGTTTATTTGTAAGGGGCAACTTTTCGGAATTACCAACACGTTCATGAAAATTTGGTCACCTACGGGAAGCTACGTTATACGTAGGTGAGTTAAGCTATAGCTTACATGGGCAAAATTGTGGTAAAACAGAAAGCAATATATTATGTAATAAAGCTATTTATGGTATGTCCGGTATAAAGTATGACTTACAAATAAGAAATTGTTTTTTATTTTCATTTATGCAAATAATTTAATAATTAATGTATTTATAAACTATTCTGATTTTAATTTTCCTTGAATCTTTTTTACTACTATTAATCTGTAAACTGTGAATATTAAAGATCCCATTATTAACAGAAACGTTGTCAGTAAGTAGAAAATCAATTCTAATTCCAGGTATTCTGTCCAGGACACGTTTGCAGCAGGTGAGCGCAGGTGTTTAGCTCCACCATGTCTTATTACATACTCCGTCCACCACACGGCTCGTTCTAACGGAGTCTGAGGCTGATCATTAAATATTCTCTTCATTCGTAGAATATTTTGTCGATAACTGATTAAAAAGTAATAAAGTTAGTGTCAGAAAAATGCAGGAAAATTCAAACAGGAAAGTATAATGTAGTTAGTAAAAATAAAGTATATATTTCTCGTTACCCACCTGTCGTTGTTTAGTATTTCGTTGATAGCGTTTTCGAAATTCTCCTCATCAATAGTCTCTATATCTACTCGCACCCCAAAGCCATGGTGTACATACTGTTCTACGTTATACCATTGATCGGTAACCATAGGTATACCGATTAAAGGTACTCCAGCCGTGATGGCTTCATCGGTTGAGTGCAAACCTCCTTGAGTGATAAACATCTTGATCTTAGGATGCCCTGGAATTTCATGAAATTGTGGATTTTAATAATTTATGTAAATCTTCAATGTTATCAATTATACAAATTACATAAAATATAATAAAAGATTCTGTTGCCTTCAGTTATGATATTTACCCAGTAGCATAATCGTCCATTAAAATTGACATTTACGTTTACAATAGAAATTTGCAAATCTATACTACTTATAATATACCTGAAGAGTAAAAGTGAATTATTATTTTTGTGTAGAATCGACCACTTATCGAGGAAGGCTACAGGGTACATAACATCACGCTATGACTTATAGGAGTGGAGAAGAAGAAAATAAGGACCAAGATATTTATATGCCTTTGTGAAACATTCATAGAGTCAGGTCAGGAAAATTATATAAAAATTCATCATTACAGATTGATTTCTGATTTTTCTTGAAATAAAAAAAACGAGGAGGTACTGATATATTGACTCGTATAGGCCTTTGCTATAAGGAATTACTTTATATGTATAAATACGAACAAAAAAATGTATAAATCACGGTTGAAAACTAACGTTCACGTTTGATAAATATTTTTAATTGGTAAATGAGATTTTAAATAAAACATAATATAATGATTGCATATAAAAGGTCTCTATTAAATTACTATTGCAGTGATTATTTGGGTATGTAAAATACTGACCGTTTATGTTTTTCTAGTCTTCAAATAATATTTATTGATTTATATTTAAATCTATTCTTTATTGCATTTAGAAACACAAAACTTGGATTTAATGTTAAAGACATCTTTATCAGTAAGTCAGAAAGGATGCATGCTCAAATACTTACTTAGTAAATCAGCTTGTGGCAACCACTTTGAGATTCTGATGTTGTCATTGCGCCCAGGCAATTCGTCCTTGTTCCATTTCCATAATACATCATATGGTAGTTTGGAGAAGACGTTTATTAATGTCTGAATTTTATGCGCAGGTAGCAAAGTCGGATCGATATTACTTCCAAAGCTAACGTAAATAACTCCGTGTGTAGAGGAATCGAGGTAAGATTTGAGATGCTAAATAAAAATCAATTAGTAATACACACAATTAACTATAGGTTAACTAACGATATTACGCTACCAATCTGAAGCCAGGAAATTTTATTCGGGAATTACCCGAACAAAACTAACAAATTAATTACCTAAAATGAGTAAAGTATCATTACAAAAAATATATTGAAAAGATAAGTTTTTGCGTTAACTGAAATTTATAATTGTAAAATTACCTTATCTGATCTTGTTTAAAAGCAACATAATCTCCAACATAATTTTAAAACTTTTTAAAAGAAAATACATCTATTTCACTTACTTCTGGTAAAATTTGTTCAGGTTGCTGATGTAATCCTCCCAAGTATATAATATTTGGTGGTACCGGACGATTCAGATCCCAAATTGAATGAACGTTTAAAAACACTAACTCGACATTCTTCTTCAACTCACTCAACTTTGGAATTTTTGCACCAATTATATTTTTCACTATCATGTCAAAGTCCGTTTCAGTATCCAGTGCTATTTTACGGAAATGGTAATTAATATAAAATTGCTTAAATTTATCCAAAATTGACAAATTATAAACTTTTTGTTGGATGGGATAGGGATATAGAAACGGGTGAGATGGTACCCCAACAATACTAGGAATATCGGGAATTGTGCCCAATGTGCTAATCTGGATCACAGGCACTTGAAGTACATGGGACAAAATTAAAATTGGTGAACAAAATGATTCATGAATCAGAAGGTCAAACTTATTTTTACCACTTAAAATAGTTTGAATTTCTTCTTGTTGTAATTGTTTTTCAATTACCTTTGCCATTGTTTTATATATAAATCTCAAATGTGGAACAATATTATTATTGTTTCCTAGTATTATACTTGTAGCTTTCGTTGCTTTGCGCCAAACATCATATGAAATATCATGAAGGTCGACTTCCGTAAGGTTAGCAGGTGCTTCACTTTTGCGATATATGGGATCCGTAGTCAAAACCACTACTTCATGACCTCTTCTAACTAACTCCAGAGTTAATGGCCGAAACACGATTTGATGACTGTAATATGGCAGTGGATACACTGCCAATATTCTTGCTGCTTCATTGGTTACTACTACAACAACAAGCAACAAAATAACGTAGAATATTTGTGCCATATCTGTTTATCTCTGTCGTAAATTTTGTGTGAAATAACACACTATTAGCACATTCAAATATTTATATATATTAATTATCATCAGCAAAAAAAATAGTGGAGTGAGTTAGTCAAAGTGAATAGCCCATAAATTCTTGTGAATGTTATTTTTTTCGTTTGTGCTTATTTACTTTAATTACACAGTCTTATTTTTTGCTGGTTGGAAATGTAACATAAAATCGTTTGACAGATGATTATTGATTTATATGATTTGTTCAGTGACAATTAAGATTTTATATTACTAATGAATCTGCAGCGGTTATTTTGCTGAACATATTATAAAAATTAGAATTTTATATATAGGCCTAATTTTATGTATATTAAATTATTTATCGGTGACCTTGTTTGACTAGACATGTGATTTGATAATTGACGAAAATACTGTCTTACTCTTATATTTTCTAATATTGTAATGTAAAATGACTTCATATTTTAATGAAGTCATTTTTTAATCTTGATGCTCTGTATGAATTAAAATAGGGAGAAAAAGTAGCCCTTGCCAAGTTTCTTGCCGGTTTTTCTCCGTACAAGATTTCCCGCCGTAGATTTACGAACCGATATCGTAGCTCTCGACTTTCACAAGTACTTGTAACAGCCTAAACTGAACATACCTACACACACATATGGAATTTGAACACCCTACCTATACTTCATTCATTATAACATTAGTCATAGCAGCAGCAGTGCAGAACATTTTATTTTCAAGATAAATTTAAAAAATATAAATTACGTATTATGACAATTATGAATACATTGACAGTGACATGAGAATCGTGCCGAAACTATCCAACCCTGCTTCTTCAGGTTCTTTAATATGATCACCTTTTATTGTAATAGTTATTAAATCATTTAAGTTAGTCAAATGCTCATAATTTGTTTAATAGATAGCTTAAATGACAACAATTAAGTATAGCAGCTTATATTTAAGTGGATATGTAACAAATTAGCCGTCATTCTTAAGAGTAACATGATTATAGATATTTTGTCCCAAAGCATACAATAAAAAGAACCTTATTTAACTTCTGTCTAATGCGATAATTAATTGAGTATAGGTGTTCAGAGTGGAATACATCAACTAAAAAATTTGCCCCTAGGACATAAAATCCTCCGTTTTTGATTGCAAAATACACTATCTTTGGTTTTTAATGTAATTTTTGGTACTTGGCAAAATGATTCTAGTTGTTTTGTCATAAAATCCGAAAATACTACTAATCCGATTTCGATAAAATTCATTTGGGATCACGTCAGGCCTCATAAGCTGTCTTTTAAAAAAATAATGTTAAAAAGCAGTCAATAAATAAATAGCGGAAAAAAGATACATACCCGTCAAACGTAGAACATTTTTGATTTGGAGACGGTTAAAAGGAAGAAAAACTGCTATTAGACTATACTATAATAAAATGAAATATTAACTGTTTTATAAAATTTTCGTCGTTGATATATTGATCATCATCATTAACTCTTTCACAGCCAAACTACAGGGCACATCGAGTAGTTTACAGTGAACACATAGTTTTATCAGATTAAGTTCACGTCGTCGTCGAGGCCAGCGGAGGTGGTTGGCAGCTGCCTCCGCATTGCACGATCTGGAGAGGTCATTGTCTGTCTGGGAGAGGCACTCAATTTACCCGAGCCTCTCTAATTTTCCATCTGCAAGGGGACCAATGGTCCAATACTTAAGTGTCCTGGTCGTTTTTTTCTCTCATTACTATTTTTTATGTTAACACTCTTTTTGTTTTTTTTTTAACATACAAATTGCTCTTGATACGTATTTCAAAGTTGGTATTTTCAGTCTTCGCTGGAATCAATGGTTCATTCATTGGTCACAACACTCATATAATATAACGCGAGTCTGATAGTCGGTTCAGAGTAGCTCGGTGGCGTAGTGAATAAATGCCATGGTCCGTGATTATAGTTGTTAAGCAACTTTCGCAAACCACAGGGTGAGTGACCAAAAAAATATTATCTCAAGCAACTTCAAGCTTCGTAAGGCAGGTAAAGCGAATGGTCCCAGTTGTATTTGCAGTCGTTAATATCCTCCAATCCACATTGGGTCAGCATAAAGGGTCGTGGCCTATCCTTCTTAACAATCCACAAAGAAGGCCTGAGCTCCTGCAGTTGGTGACGTAAAATGGCTGATAATGATGATGATGATAAGGGCCGTTCAAATCTGACGGAAGCTCAGTTATGCACCTCTCGGACGTATGTGTTAGTAGACGATTTCCTTTGAGTGTGGAAAGTCGAAATTAAAATATGTATATATTTGTTTCTCTTTATAATATTAGTATAGCTTAGGTATAAGAGGTCTGATGGCGTAGTGGGTTAGCGCATTCGGTTTCAATTGCAGTTAAATAAGTAAGTAAATACTGCACAACAAGGACATACATGAATCATCATCCCTAGCCAGCGATTTCTTCCAGGCAACCTAGCATTACATGGAAAATAGAACAATACATAGCCGATTATGCACACAAATAGATAAATAATATAAACTTAAAAAGATCAAAAACATAAGAAGGACAGTTTAAAGATACGATAAAAATGCTCAGACACAAGCGATAACCAGAGCGCGAGAAACGAGAAAAAGATAGATAAATAACATTCGTAAGGACCGTTCACAGGATAGGTCGCCAAAACGTTATTATCTTGAGCTCTATGCACAACACTGGCACAATGCACTTTAAGCCGTTAGTCCTGGCTACATCAGCAACTTTGACACCCACCGATCGCATTAAGCCGGCGTAGTGGGTTATGACCCATTGATCTTATTCGATTCGACTCCATTCATAGGAAAAAAGAATTCTACCAAAATAATTCCCAGGCAGACGAAGTGGCGGGCACAGCTAGTACAGAATATGTCTGTGGTTTCATGAAGTGGCGCACTATATTAATCAAATTAATGTGGTTTAGATGCGAATTAGGAAATTTCTTCATAGCAAAATTGACAAGATCCTTTTTTTTTAATCTAATAAGTATGTTAAAGATATGATAAAAAGACAAAAAAATGTTTTTATAAGAAATTATTATTGTTGCAGTGACGAGGTCTTAAGTTTCTGAACGACCACCGTGCTTCCCTTTCCCAACAAGACGTATCTCAGTGCGCTTTCTGACAGTTTGGAAATATACAAATCACCTGACAAAGTTCCGCACTCCATTCAAGCAATGAGGACTAACCAAGGTTTTATATACACATATATTTAATTGCTTGAAAGCAATAAGACATGCTTTATAAATGAATTAGAGGAGCTCAATACATGGTCATCAGATCTTTGCCTCAAATGGAAAAATATTATGGTTAACGAACAATATAAAAAGGGAGTGAATAGTTTCAGAGGATTTTTTACTTGTCGCCACCAAGGAAGCAACTACGGAGATACCCATAGTTGTAGATGTAATCTCATCTTTATTAAATTGTGTATTCTGCATTGTTATGTAATGATAATGTTCGAATTATAATGTATATCATGTAGAAATATTAGAAGTATTGCTTTATTGTAATTGTTTCATATGTGTTCATTTAAAGGCTATTGGTTATTTGTTAAAATGCATTAAGATTAGTTGTGATTAAGGACAGGGTTTATTATAATTATTTATTGTTAAGGAGCTATGCAGTTCCCTGAGGAACTGTAGTCACTGCGACCTTGAAGATCTATTGTGCCTCGCCGCCAGAGCTATAGTAACTCCTTAAGCCCGGTAGACTTCAAAAAGTCTATAATATTCCAGGCTTTTGGAGATTTTATATATTCTGGGCTGATTATATGTCGTCCCGTTTGTAGATCAATGGTACATATTCACACAGGAGATGTTTTTGGTGTTTCACGTTCCTGTTTGTAATATCTGCAAATGTCAGTGTCACTTAGTTTCATGTTAAATAGGTATCTGTTTAATTTGCTGTGTCCAGATTAGGTTCGTTCAATTGAACTTATATTTGCTCTGTTTAGCTTCAAGAGCTCTTCAGCTAGTTTTTGTGAATCACCTTCAATTAGGGATTTAGCGTGATTTAGTCCCGGCTGTTTTTGTCAGTATTTTTATGAATCTCTTTGCAGGTCATTTTTTAGAATTTGTATGATATCTATTTGTAGTCCCTGTGCTCCAGGCCTTGTTAAATTATCCGCTTTTTCATTGCCGATGATGCCCGAGTGTCCTGGTACCTATTTGAGAATAATTTTATTCTTTTGCCCAAATTCATTCAACCTGTCAATACAGTATTTTACCAGTTTCGAATGTATCACGCTCGAATGTATGGCATTGAGTGCTGCTTGACTATCAGAAGATATGTAAATGGTTTGATTTATGTAGTTTTGTTGGCGATTAGCTTCCACAAATTCTAAAATGGCGTACCTTCAGCCTGAAAAATAGTAGCGTTTATACCAAGATTCACACAAGATTTTGTTTAATTTTGGTCTTACACCATATATTCCACAACCTACATTATGGAGCCATCTGTGATGCTTCCTGTTTTGCAGAGTTCGTGCGCCTCTGAACATTCCTCTCTGCTTGATGTCTCCACTGAGTATTTTCTTTCAAAGTTACATAGCGGAGTCATGACGTTTGTGATCATTGCTAGAGGTGTGTTCTCAAGGACAGTTTGATAAAGAGATCTCAGTGCTTGAGAAAGCCAGTTCTTTTGACCAGTAACTCCTACTCTGTAGATGCTAGCTTTCGCCTCTTTCATTTTAAATAAATACAGAGGCGGTAATTTAAGCAGGGCATTCAGAGAGGCTCCTGGTGTGGTAGACATGGCACCGGTTGCCATGAGGTATGTAAGCCTTTTGGGTTATGTTGTTTATATGGCGCGTCCACGTGAGTTTTTGGTCGAATGTGACGCCCAGGTTACTTATGGACAGGATTAATTATGTTGTAATTAAATATCGTGTCTAATATGTGTTTTATTATATGATCAATTAAAGTATTATTATTTATTTATTTATTATGATCAATTAATATTTATTGACATAATTACAAAATTATTTAAATTAAAATTATTAGATTAAATTAATTTATATTAAACTAGAAAAATATTCTTGTGATAAAAGTACAATACACTCGTATTTTAGCAGCTTGTGAAAAATTAAAAACATGGTTAGTTATAACAAAAACGCATCGAAAGAAAAGACAAAATTAATTTCATCTAGTTTGTAATCTCATTTTTTTTTGCTTACGTAAATTGCATTCATTGAAAGAAATCAACGAATGTGCTTTGTCGCTGCGGTTAAAAAAAATCAACATTATAAATGAGATGATATCAACCTTTTTTAAATTCGTAGCGCTCGCGGCGTTAATACAGAACAACAGACTCCTAAAATCACACTAGATATTAATAATAATAATAATAAAACAATTTATTTCTCACCACAAATGACACACTATCAATATAATAAATGACACAAACAGTAGATTTAGGAAATTAGGTCACTTGTATTACAGATCACCAGGCCCCCGAACATATAGTGCATCTAGTGCATACAGTTAGACAATGTTTGAATAAATTAAGAGAATTTATTAATCAAATATTACTTCAGTGGTACATAATATTTTCTTTTTAAACAATAGGTTAAAGAATATTTTTTATAACAATAAATTATACCCTGATTGCACGCATTAGACTTTTGCTTGTGCATGCTAATAACCAGAAATTGTAGCATTAAAAATAAAATACATTTGTTTTCTTGTAACAGATAGGCATACCACAGCTGTAAGATAAATGGCAATTATTTCATAATCAACAAAATAAATAAAATGTGAGATAATTTTACTAGATTATTATATTTTTATCAATTTTGCATTCACAATGCTATACTGAAAAATATTCTTAGTGAAAATCCATTTTGTTCTTGGCACTCTGAGATGGGACTGGATTTCTTTAGCATTTTTCACTAATAATAGAATTAAGACTCCCAGATTGATTGAACTTAAAATTTATTTGGGTATATTAATTTGATTTTAATTTTCCGTTCATCTTTTTTCTCCGTATTAAAGTATACACCATGAATATTAAACCTACTATTAGTATCATTAATGTTGTCCATAAGTAGAGAAACAATTCTAACTCCAGGTATTCTGTCCTGGACATGTTTGCAGCAGGTGAGCGCAGGTGTTTCGCTCCACCATGTCTTATCACATACTCCGTCCACCACACAGCTCGTTCTAATGATGTCTGAGGCTGATCGTCAATTATCCTCTTCATACGTAGAATATTTCGCCGATAACTGAGTAAAAAATAATTAAATAAGTAACAGAAAAATACAAGAAAATTTAAACTGGTAAGTAGTCGTAAAAGAAAGAGAGATCACCCAAATACGTGACAGAATGTTACAATCGGATTAATGTATTAATATGCAATTTAAATTAGAGTGTCCTACTAATTAAATAAAACTATTTTTACCGGGTGTAGCACATTTATATTTAATTTCATGACATTTCGGACCCTTTACAAGTTCCGTGTTCGCTTAAGACTAAGATCCATCTTAGTCTTACCTACACGCCTTTAAAATAGTTTTATTTAGCGTAAGGTGGGGATTAGTGTTAGACGGGGTACACTGTTAAAATGCACATATCTCCATCCATGTCATTAATTTTTAAAATGTTTGTATATGATGGATTTGGATATGATGACATGTATTTACTGTCAAGCGTAATCACTTACTTAAATGTCATAAATCTATAACTCAATCTCTATTACTCTTTTGTATTTTTTTTAAGCTTGCCCATCCGTGGCACTGTGTTACACTGCTACAATGGGCCCAACCCAATTTCTATTTTGTTTTGTGCTTGTGTTTCAAAAGAAAATGGTAAGTAGTCGTAAAAGAAAGATAGAACACCCAGATATGTGACAGAGTGTTACAATCGGATCAAAGTATTAATATGCAATTCAAATTAGCTTCTTGCTAATTACGGTCATGTTATAATAATTATAAGTAAAGAGAGATAGTTTAAATTTAAAATAGTTAAAAGTTGATTAAATCAATACTTGCATCACAATTACTAGTTTGTTTTATTTTTGTAACACTGTGCCCACCTTATCCTAATGAATATTTCTTGTTACCTACCTGTCGTTGTTTAGTATTTCGTTGATAGCGTTTCTGAATTTCTCTTCATCAATAGTCTCCATATCTACTTGTACACCAATACCATGGTGTCCATACTGTTCTACGTTATACCATTGATCACTGACCATAGGTATACCGATCAAAGGTACTCCGCCAGCGATGACTTCATTAGTCGATTGCAAACCGCCTTGAGTGATAAACACTTTGATTTAAGGACGCTCTGAAATTACAGGATATTACATTTAGAATTTAAAGTTGTTACATTTATGGACATTTTCAATGTTACTAATTATCTGATATTGCGAAAAAAGATTATATTGTGTATAATTAGGATACTTAAAAGATAACCCTAAAGTTTTCATTTTACATTTCAAACATTTTGAAGGATCCTTTGTGAGGTTAGTTATCGACTATAATATTTAATAACAGGTAGGGTTTACTCTTCGGATGGTTTATGGTGAAGTGCTGGCCCTTAATATTTTAAAGTATTTTTTTTTTATTCGAATTCGAGTGTACGTGTTTTGCTGGTAGTGGAGTGTCTGGGGGATTTGACCTTAGACTTCTGTTATAGTGAATGAATTGAAATAAGGGGGGGGTTTTCTTCTTTAGACTATAAAGTGTAAAGTTTACCCAAAAAAAAATGTGCTTTTGATTTTTTATTATTTAAACAAAATTTATAAAAAAAATAATAGTGAAATATGTAATTTTATTATAAATTTTTTTTTTCGTATCTATACGTTGAATAATACCTAAATAGACATAAAATAATACTTTTTTAAATATTGAAGCGTATGAAGGATCATAACTACCTTGGACAGGTAGTAGAACGTGGAGATGAGAGTGACAACGGCAGCGGTTCCAAAAGTGAACAAGATTTTTGTAGCTACTTTTTATTTATAAACGACATGTGTTCTGTGCATGTTGTATATATTTAAGAGTAAAATTGTGTGTTTTTTTGTTTATTTCTGACAAAGTATTTTTGAAGACGTTTTTTTTCTATTGAATTTCTATGTAAGATTTTTTATTTGTTCATTTGGTAAGCAATTCATAAAATATCTGCCGATTATTATATAATCAGGATGGTTATAATATCGCACTCCCGGTGCGACACTGTCACTTATGCAAAAATTTAGTTTTTCAGGAGAAGAGTTTTAAACTCTGTCACCTCACAAAACAATGACTTTAGAAGATACAGATGAGATGAATCATACGGAACATAGTTCCGTATGATAACAATAAATTAAACAATAAGTACATAGATAATTAAAGATTAAGGTTCATTGAGGTTCAATTTCTTTGTAAAAGGAATGACCAAATGTTCTTTTGTCATCATTACCTTGTAATCCGCCACCGTGTAGGTGGCGGATTTATAAATTTGTCGCTCGTAGGCTATTCAATTTTTGCCGCCCCTACTGACCTCTAAAATTCGATACGCTAGTTTAGTTCACTATCATATTCATTACATTTATTCTATTGATGCAATTGCAACTTTATGATTTGAGCTCTATAGTCCTCGTTACATCGGCTTTTTGTCGTTATTAGAATGACTGTGAATTAGGGGATGGTTCTATCAGTTTCTAGATTATTTTTACCACCCACGATTTAGTGAAGAGTACGATTGAACAAAAAGCAGCAGTATGTACCAATTATAAGGTTATCATATCAAATTTTATCAATTTTACATTCGAAAATGCTTCACAGTAAAATATTCTTAATAAAAAATTCTTAAAAAGTCCACTTTGTCCCTGGCACTATAAGATGGGATTTGAAACCACGACCTTTCGCAATCCATAGAGGCATGGGAACTAAAAAAATGCAGTCGTTAATACCACCCAATCTGAATTAGGCCCGTGTGGAGGGTTATTGCTCATCGTCTTAATCATCCATAAGGAAGGCCTGAGCTCCTGCAGTTGAGACGTAACAAGGCTGATTATGGTGATAGAGCTATGCGAAGTGATATATTCAAGTTTATGTCTTTATTTATTTTATTGCATTCCAAAATATAGTATTCTGCGCCACAACTCAAAACGACTACGTTAATACATACGTACGATCGGCCAAGAAAGTGGTCTACCAGTTTTGACAACATTTCCCGTGTCTTTCATCATCAGCCCTTTTACGTCCCCACTGCAGGGGCTCAGGCCTTCCTTATGGATGGTTAAGGAGGATGGGCCATGACCCTCCACGCTGGCCCAATGCGGATTGGAGGGTATTAACGACTGCAAATGCAGCCGGGACCAACGGCTTAACGTGCCTTCCGAAGCACGAAGTAGCTCGAGATAATAATTTTTTGGTCACCCATCCCGTGACCGACCCTTGTGAAAGTTGCTTTACGACTACGATCACGGGCCGCGGCGCTAATCCACTACGCCACCGAGCTACTTTACATTCAGCCCGTGTCTTTAAAGCATCGCTAAAAGCGAATCTTAGAATTGCATACAAACAATAAAAGAGATGCACAATGCTGACGTGTTGTCGTAGAGCACAAATGTTATTTTGACCTTTGCAGCCTATGCATTAGATAATAATTTGCAACAACAAATAGTCTTCACAATATTTCATAAATTTAAAATTTAAGTAGGTCACTTCAAAGTGGAAACTATTTTGTTACGAAAACTCTTTTACTGAAAAAGAATATATCACTTGACAATTCATGTCAAATATTTTCTCGGCATTTTCCGTAGGTATTTTCCTAATTAATTTACACTACAATGCCCCGAAATTTATCCATTAACGAAAGAGCACAAATAATCGCATTACACAATGATGGTTTGAATATTAGTGAGATTTCTAGAGAGTTAAATGTGTCGGTAAGTATTATTATGTCTGACGTGAGTTTAATGTAAAATCTCAGAACAAGTCCGAGTGTAAAAAAAATTTTTTTTTTATTTTCTGTTCATATTTTACTTTTGATTATAGAGACAAGCTGGATAAGACGAGAAAGCGAGGAGGGGAATTTGAACGCTCGGAGTCGTAGCGGTCGTAGACCTGAAATATCAGATACTCAGCGAGTCTTCATGAGACGGAGTTATGAGGAATCTGGCTTTATACCAACGCGTTATTTTGCCGACATATTTGACGTGACTCTCCAAACCATTAGAAACCATTTACATTACATGGGCTTACATCACAGGCGTTATGCAAAGAAAATTTATATGACTGACGCTCATAGAATGGCCAGATTAAATTTCGCCATAGAATATTTGGATTTTGATTGGAGTAACACTGTTTTCTGTGACGAGAAAACTTTTAAATCCAGTCAACACGGGCGTCTACACCTTTGGCGATTCAATAAAACGCGATACACGCAAAATCATGTCGTGCCAAATAGAGAATCGGATCGTATCTCGGTAAATTTGTATGGATGGATGACTGCTGATGGTTTTGGAGACTTGACCTTTTTGCCACCACGAGCAACGGCATCAGATTATGTTGATGTTCTCCAAAATGCTATGTTGCCATCCGTCCGGAACGTTTATCTAGAAAATGAAATGCGTCAATTTAATTATTTGCAGGATAACTGTCCCTTACATAAAGCAAGGGTAACACGTGCTTGGTTTAATGCACATCCGGAAATAAACTTGATACCATGGCCTGAAAATCGCCAGATCTCAACCCTATTGAAAATATGTGGGGTCTTATGGTTCAGAGATGGTGTAACCGTAATGAACGAACAGCAGAAGCACTACAAGGGCACTGCAATGAGGTTTGGGAGGAAACACGTGGGTCTGATATCTGCTCAAGACTGGTGGGCTCGATGAGGGAACGTCTCCAAGCTGTTATAGAGGCAGATGGCGGCTACACAAGATTTTAAGAATTATAATTTTAAAAAAGAATTGTATATATTTTTTAACAACCAAAGAATTAGCATTTTCACTATCTCTTCTAGTTTTAGCCCTTGTCTCGCAATAAGCTATGGGTCGGCGCAATATGTTTTTTGTCGCTATTCATTTCTGTTATCCGTTATCTCAGTATATTCAGACCTATAACACGCATAGCTTCTTACGCATAGCATTTTACTACCTACTGATTCTTTTTATTTGTATTAAAATATAATTAATCTACATTCTAATGTAGGATATTTGTAGACTATAAGACTTTATTTACGATATTCTAACTCTAAAGTATTTAAACGTTCAAACAGACAGACAGAAAAAAAAATTTTTGGCTTCTATTAGTCTTATGAAGGTCGTCCATATATTTTTTTTCCAAAATATCTTACAAATGTAACCTTGTTACATTTTTATTATAGGTATAGATAATTACTGTCAAAGGTTACGTCAAAATGATGAAGACAGCAATAATGACGTGTACTTGACGTGTCAAAAAATTAATGCTACGGAAAATCAACCTTGTTGTTAGTTAACGTAACACGCGAAATTCAATCTTAGGGTGGTAGACCACTTTCTTGGCCGACTGTACCTATATAGAAGAAAATAAATATTTAAATGTAAAATAAATATGTCACGTAATTATTAAAACGCTATTGGAATATTATAAAAAATTATTATCACATAAGTACCTATATTTTACAGAGCGTTTAGTGATCTTTCGTATAGGGATTACGTTCGTAAGAGTGTTCAGTATGGAAGAGATCGCTGTTCTATTGCACATTGTGTATATCTTACTTTGTTGTGCAATAAAGTGTATAAATAATATATATTTATAAATTGGGTCACATTTGCCGCCCCTTAAATTTGCCGCCCTATTCAACCTGCTGGTAAATCCGCCACTGCTCCTACAGCTGATGCAGCATTTGATCTTAAAATAGTATATCTACAAATCCGGTTATGGTTAGGAAATGTAGATATTGAAAATATAGACATTGCAAAGTGTGGCTGGAAGTATTTTAATCGTATGCTTATCCCAATAACAATGAATAAATCACCAGCTCCAGATAATTTATTGCAAATATTGTTTTGTAGCTGCAAAAAGGGTTGTGGAGCTGCTTGTGGATGTCGATTGAGTGGCTTATAGTGCAGTGTAGCATGTCTACAGTGCAACGAAAATATTTGTTTTAATACTCCACCAATCATTGAAATAAGTGAAGTAGAAGAAAATACTTAAATAGACAAAAATGTTAATTGTTTAAATAAACAAATAATTTCTTGATACTCTTTTTTCTTTCGTTTTCCTTCATTTTCCTAATTACTGTCTCTATATGATTAAGTATATAAATCAATTTAAATATGGCGAAGAAAATGTTCTACAGCCTAATATTATGAGGTATTGTATCATTAAAACTATCAATTTTTTTTAAATTGAGATCTCAATTTTTTAATAGGTAAACTTTTTTATATATATTATAAGCTAAACATTCCACTTTTAATTATAAAATTTTATTCACTGTAACAGAAATCCGAGGCTTTCATGTTTTTAACGCCCCAGGCACTCCACTATGGTGAATAGTCTTTCTTTCTGATCGAGACGAGCTTAAGGTGAATATCATAGTTTTTGGTTCTGATTCATGAAGCATTTTGTTTGTCAGCTTTAATTTTCTCCCATGTACTCAAAGTGCCTGCGATCCAGATAAGCTCTTTGGGAACAGTACCTGATGTTGCTAATATTGTTGGAGCACCATCTCACCCCTTGCTGTATCCCTATCCAATTTATCAGAAAATTTACAATTTGACAATTTGGGATAAATTACAGCAATTGTATATTTATTATCAGTTCCAAAAAATAGCTCAGGACTTTGAAACTGGTTCTGATACGATAGTGCAAAAATTAATTGGTGCAAAAATACCTAAGCTCAGTGAGTTGAAGAAAAATGTTGAGTTAGTGTTTTTAAATGTTCATTCAATTTGGGAAATGAATCGTCCTATGCCACCAAATGTTATATACTTAGGAGGATTGCACCAGCAACCTGAAAGGAAATTACCAAAAGTAAGTGAAATAAATGTGTCCGTAAAGAAAGTTTTGAAACTGTACTTAAGATTATATTGCTTGTATTTCATTTTACAAATTTTAGCAAAGGCAAGAGAATGTTGTTAATTTTTTTGTTAGTGTTATGTACTTTATAACTGAAGGTCACGCCTGTTCTTTGATGCTCTAGCACAAGACTTGACTAACTGCTTCCATGTCTTCCTGTCATCAGCCTGTCAGAGCGCCTTAGTTTATAGTGAGATCAACACCGTTTGTACTCACACGTACGTCACACCAGCATGTTGGTGATTGCCTTCTTGGTGTCTCTTCATCCATCTATCTATTCCACTACAACAAGTTTATCAAAATCATCTGGTTATCTCTGACCTATATGACCAAAGTTAAAGCAGGATGTTGTTAACTAATAGGTATATTTATTTAGGTATAATTCAGGTAATTCTGTGTAAAATTTTGTTATTGCTGTTATTCAGGATTTCCAATCATATCTCGATTCCTCTAAACACGGAGTTATTTACGCGAGTTTTGGGACTAATATCGATCCAACTTTGCTGCCTCCGCACAAAATTCAGATATTAATAAACGTCTTCTCCAAACTACCATACGATATATTATGGAAATGGAATAAGGACGAATTGCACGGGCTAAGTGATAACATCAAAATTTCAAAATGGTTGCCTCAAGCTGACTTATTAAGTAAGAAAACAAATTAGCTATTAAGATACTAAAAAAAAAAAAAAACATAAACTTTCAATTTATAATTAAGATGGAATCGAATCGAATGTAGTTAGAACGGATGATTATCCACCACGCGGGCCCAGTGCAGATTGGTGGGTGTTAACGACTGCTGGTAATAATTTTGGTCACCCAGCCTATGACTGAACTTTGCTTAACAATTGTGTCGCAGACCGAAAGCTATGGTGCACCATCGAGTTTACAATTAGTTATCAACTCAATATTATAGTCGATAACTAACCTCCCAAAGGATCCTTCAAAATGTTTGAAATGTAAAATGAAAACTGAAGGGTTATCTTTTAAGTGTGATAATTATATACAACATAATCTTTATCGCCATTTCAGATAATTAATAACATTGAAAATGTCCATAAATGTAACAATTTAAAATTCTTAATGTAATGTCCTGTAATTTCAGAGCATCCTAAAATCAAAGTGTTTATCACTCAAGGCGGTTTGCAATCGACTGATGAAGCCATCGCTGGCGGAGTACCTTTGATCGGTATACCTATGGTCAGTGATCAATGGTATAACGTAGAACAGTATGTACACCATGGTATTGGTGTACGAGTAGATATGGAGACTATTGATGAAGAGAAATTCAGAAACGCTATCAACGAAATACTAAACAACGACAGGTAGGTAACAAGAAATATTCGTTAGGATAAGGTGGACACAGTGTTACAAAAATAAAACAAACAAGTAATTGTGATGCAAGTATTGATTTAATCAACTTTTAACTAACTTGAATTTAAACTATCTCTCTTTACTTATAATTATTATAACATGACAGTAATTAGCAATGAGCTAATTTAAATTGTTTGTACCAGTTTAAATTTTCTTGTATTTTTCTGTTACTTACTTAATTAGTTTTTACTCAGTTATCGGCGAAATATTCTACGTATAAAGAGGATAATTGACGATCAGCCTCAGACATCATTAGAACGAGGTGTGTGGTGGACGGAGTATGTGATAAGACATGGTGGAGCGAAACACCTGCGCTCACCTGCTGCAAACATGTCGTGGACAGAATACCTGGAGTTAGAATTGTTTCTCTACTTATGGACAACATTAATGATACTAATAGTAGGTTTAATATTCATGGTGTATACTTTAATAGGGAGAAAAAAAATGAACGGAAAATTAAAATCGAATTAATATACCCAAATAAATTTTAAGTTCAATCAATCTGGGAATCTTAAGTCTATTATTAATGAGAAATCCACTTTGTCCTTGGCACTCTGAAATGGGACTCGAACCCTTCACCTTTCGCAATCTCGACGACTGCTCTAACCACTGAGCTACCAAGGACCTAACAGGATTGATGAAATTTTCAAGCACTTGTTCCTTTTTGTTACTACAGAGTGTATTTTCATCAATGTTAAAGCAATCCACCCAAACAGCCGAAGGAAATATTTTTTATAAATATTTAAACTTTCGATAAATATGAAAATTTGTTGTAATTATTATATTTTTATCAATTTTGCATTCACAATATTAAAGGTAATTAGTTTCGAGTTCCATCTTAGCGTGCCAAGAATAAAATGGACAATATTTCTCAAAATTTATAAAAATATAATAATCTTAAGTCTAGTAAAATTATCTCACAAGTTATTTATTTCGATTATGAAATATTAGCTTTTTATCTTACAGCTGTGGTATGCCTATCTGTTACAAGAAAACAAATTTATTTGATTTTTAATGCTACAATTTCTGGTTATTAGCATGCACAAGCAAAAGTCTAATCAGGGTTATAATTGATGGTTAAAAAAAAAATCTTTAATCTATTGTTTAAAAAGAAAATATTATGTACCACTGAAGTAATATTTGATTAATAAATTCTTTTAATTTATTCAAACATTGTCTAACTGTATTCACTAGATGCACTATATGTTCGGGGGCCTGGTGATCTGTAATATGGGTCTAAAATCCTACACAGGCATCAGTCTCTCACAAGTAACCTCATTTTCTAAATCTACTGTTTGTGTCATTTATTATATCTATATTGTGTCATTTGTGGTGAGACATAAGTTATTTTATTATTAATATCTAGTGTGATTTTAGGAGTCTGTTGTTCTGTATTAACGCCGCGAGCGCTACGAATTAAAAAAAAAGGTTACTCTTATCACATTTATAATGTTTATTTTTTTTTAACTCACCGCAGCGACAAAGCACATTCGTTGATATCTTTCGATGAGTTTTTGTTATAAGTAACCATGTTTTAAATTTTTTCCAAGCTGCTAAAATACAAGTGTATTGTAGGTTTATCACAAGAATATTTTTCTAGTTTTATATAAATTAATTCAATTTAATAATTTTTGTTTAAATGATTGATCATATAATAAAACACATATTACACACGATATTTAATTAAAACATAATTAGCCCAGTCCTAAATCACTACTAATATTAATGTATTATAACAAATAACCAATAGCTTTTAAATGAACATATATGAAACAATTACATTAAAACAGTACTTCTAATATTTCTACATGATATACATTATAATTCGAACATTATCATTACATAACAATGCAGAATACACAATTTAATAAAGATGAGATTACATCTACAACTATGGATATCTCCGTAGTTGCTTCCTCGGTAGTGACAAGCAAAAAGTCCTCTGAAACTATACATTCCCTTTTTATGTTGTCCGTTGACCATATTTTTTTTCCTTGTGAGGCAAAGATCTGATGACCATGTATTGAGCTCTTCTAATTTATTTATAAAGCATGTCTTATTGCTTTCAAGCAATTAAATATATGTGTATATAAATCTTGTTTAGTCATCATTGCTTGAATGGAGCGCGGAAATTTCTCAGGTGATTTGTATATTTCCAAAAGTATTAATTTAATAGAGACATTTTATATGTAGTAAATCAACAAGGCCTTACGAAGAGTATTCTACTCTAGATTTAATATTTGAAACCCAGTTGCATAAAGGTTCGTTAAGATTTAATGGCGACTTTAAGCTCTAACGAATATTCCACATTAGCTGTGACCGCGACTTCGTCCGCGTGAAATAATGACTTTCGGCAGCATCTTTAATTTTAGGGTTCCATACCTAAAGGGTAAAACGACAACCCTAGTACAAGGACTTCGCTGTCTGTCTGACACCAGGCTGTATATCACATAAACCGTGAAAATTAGACATTTGAGTTTACTCACACTTTGTTTTGCAAATAAAACATACGTAATCATTAAACAGGCTATTTACAGTATTCCACGTTATTTAGCACAAACAATAATTAATGTTCTACTACTTTAGTAGACCCAAATAATCAAAACATAAAAAGGTAAGCAAAGATAAATATTGAAATTACTTTGGAAAGCAAAAAAAACTTATAATTATTTTTTAAACATAATGAAAAGATTATAGAAAAATAGTTACTCTAACCAATTACTAAATTAAAGAAAACGATATAAGTATCTCATATTCTACTGTTAAACAGCATGCAATAACTTAAACTATTTGTAGGTACTCTGGCAACTTAGTCTAATGGTGGAGGTGGGTGGCGCAATAAAAAAAACTGGTAGAACTCCTCAGTCTTGATTTATTTTCAATTAGTATTATATTAGTACACTTACAACCAAAAACTATGATATTCACCTTAAGCTCGTCTCGATCAGAAAGAAAGACTATTCACCATAGTGGAGTGCCTGGGGCGTTAAAAACATGAAAGCCTCGGATTTCTGTTACAGTGAATAAAATTTTATAATTAAAAGTGGAATGTTTAGCTTATAATATATATAAAAAAGTTTACCTATTAAAAAATTGAGATCTCAATTAGACAATGTATTCACTGTAACAGAAATCCGAGGCTTTCATGTTTTTAACGCCCCAGGCACTCCACTATGGTGAATAGTCTTTCTTTCTGATCGAGACGAGCTTAAGGTGAATATCATAGTTTTTGGTTGTAAGTGTACTAATATAATACTAATTGAAAATAAATCAAGACTGAGGAGTTCTACCAGTTTTTTTTATTGCGCCACCCACCTCCACCATTAGACTAAGTTGCCAGAGTACCTACAAATAGTTTAAGTTATTGCATGCTGTTTAACAGTAGAATATGAGATACTTATATCGTTTTCTTTAATTTAGTAATTGGTTAGAGTAACTATTTTTCTATAATCTTTTCATTATGTTTAAAAAATAATTATAAGTTTTTTTTGCTTTCCAAAGTAATTTCAATATTTATCTTTGCTTACCTTTTTATGTTTTGATTATTTGGGTCTACTAAAGTAGTAGAACATTAATTATTGTTTGTGCTAAATAACGTGGAATACTGTAAATAGCCTGTTTAATGATTACGTATGTTTTATTTGCAAAACAAAGTGTGAGTAAACTCAAATGTCTAATTTTCACGGTTTATGTGATATACAGCCTGGTGTCAGACAGACAGCGAAGTCCTTGTACTAGGGTTGTCGTTTTACCCTTTAGGTATGGAACCCTAAAATTAAAGATGCTGCCGAAAGTCATTATTTCACGCGGACGAAGTCGCGGTCACAGCTAATGTGGAATATTCGTTAGAGCTTAAAGTCGCCATTAAATCTTAACGAACCTTTATGCAACTGGGTTTCAAATATTAAATCTAGAGTAGAATACTCTTCGTAAGGCCTTGTTGATTTACTACATATAAAATGTCTCTATTAAATTAATACTTTTGGAAATATACAAATCACCTGAGAAATTTCCGCGCTCCATTCAAGCAATGATGACTAAACAAGATTTATATACACATATATTTAATTGCTTGAAAGCAATAAGACATGCTTTATAAATAAATTAGAAGAGCTCAATACATGGTCATCAGATCTTTGCCTCACAAGGAAAAAAAATATGGTCAACGGACAACATAAAAAGGGAATGTATAGTTTCAGAGGACTTTTTGCTTGTCACTACCGAGGAAGCAACTACGGAGATATCCATAGTTGTAGATGTAATCTCATCTTTATTAAATTGTGTATTCTGCATTGTTATGTAATGATAATGTTCGAATTATAATGTATATCATGTAGAAATATTAGAAGTACTGTTTTAATGTAATTGTTTCATATATGTTCATTTAAAAGCTATTGGTTATTTGTTATAATACATTAATATTAGTAGTGATTTAGGACTGGGCTAATTATGTTTTAATTAAATATCGTGTGTAATATGTGTTTTATTATATGATCAATCATTTAAACAAAAATTATTAAATTGAATTAATTTATATAAAACTAGAAAAATATTCTTGTGATAAACCTACAATACACTTGTATTTTAGCAGCTTGGAAAAAATTTAAAACATGGTTACTTATAACAAAAACTCATCGAAAGATATCAACGAATGTGCTTTGTCGCTGCGGTGAGTTAAAAAAAAATAAACATTATAAATGTGATAAGAGTAACCTTTTTTTTTAATTCGTAGCGCTCGCGGCGTTAATACAGAACAACAGACTCCTAAAATCACACTAGATATTAATAATAAAATAACTTATGTCTCACCACAAATGACACAATATAGATATAATAAATGACACAAACAGTAGATTTAGAAAATGAGGTTACTTGTGAGAGACTGATGCCTGTGTAGGATTTTAGACCCATATTACAGATCACCAGGCCCCCGAACATATAGTGCATCTAGTGAATACAGTTAGACAATGTTTGAATAAATTAAAAGAATTTATTAATCAAATATTACTTCAGTGGTACATAATATTTTCTTTTTAAACAATAGATTAAAGATTTTTTTTTTAACCATCAATTATAACCCTGATTAGACTTTTGCTTGTGCATGCTAATAACCAGAAATTGTAGCATTAAAAATCAAATAAATTTGTTTTCTTGTAACAGATAGGCATACCACAGCTGTAAGATAAAAAGCTAATATTTCATAATCGAAATAAATAACTTGTGAGATAATTTTACTAGACTTAAGATTATTATATTTTTATAAATTTTGAGAAATATTGTCCATTTTATTCTTGGCACGCTAAGATGGAACTCGAAACTAATTACCTTTAATATTGTGAATGCAAAATTGATAAAAATATAATAATTACAACAAATTTTCATATTTATCGAAAGTTTAAATATTTATAAAAAATATTTCCTTCGGCTGTTTGGGTGGATTGCTTTAACATTGATGAAAATACACTCTGTAGTAACAAAAAGGAACAAGTGCTTGAAAATTTCATCAATCCTGTTAGGTCCTTGGTAGCTCAGTGGTTAGAGCAGTCGTCGAGATTGCGAAAGGTGAAGGGTTCGAGTCCCATTTCAGAGTGCCAAGGACAAAGTGGATTTCTCATTAATAATAGACTTAAGATTCCCAGATTGATTGAACTTAAAATTTATTTGGGTATATTAATTCGATTTTAATTTTCCGTTCATTTTTTTTCTCCCTATTAAAGTATACACCATGAATATTAAACCTACTATTAGTATCATTAATGTTGTCCATAAGTAGAGAAACAATTCTAACTCCAGGTATTCTGTCCACGACATGTTTGCAGCAGGTGAGCGCAGGTGTTTCGCTCCACCATGTCTTATCACATACTCCGTCCACCACACACCTCGTTCTAATGATGTCTGAGGCTGATCGTCAATTATCCTCTTTATACGTAGAATATTTCGCCGATAACTGAGTAAAAACTAATTAAGTAAGTAACAGAAAAATACAAGAAAATTTAAACTGGTACAAACAATTTAAATTAGCTCATTGCTAATTACTGTCATGTTATAATAATTATAAGTAAAGAGAGATAGTTTAAATTCAAGTTAGTTAAAAGTTGATTAAATCAATACTTGCATCACAATTACTTGTTTGTTTTATTTTTGTAACACTGTGTCCACCTTATCCTAACGAATATTTCTTGTTACCTACCTGTCGTTGTTTAGTATTTCGTTGATAGCGTTTCTGAATTTCTCTTCATCAATAGTCTCCATATCTACTCGTACACCAATACCATGGTGTACATACTGTTCTACGTTATACCATTGATCACTGACCATAGGTATACCGATCAAAGGTACTCCGCCAGCGATGGCTTCATCAGTCGATTGCAAACCGCCTTGAGTGATAAACACTTTGATTTTAGGATGCTCTGAAATTACAGGACATTACATTAAGAATTTTAAATTGTTACATTTATGGACATTTTCAATGTTATTAATTATCTGAAATGGCGATAAAGATTATGTTGTATATAATTATCACACTTAAAAGATAACCCTTCAGTTTTCATTTTACATTTCAAACATTTTGAAGGATCCTTTGGGAGGTTAGTTATCGACTATAATATTGAGTTGATAACTAATTGTAAACTCGATGGTGCACCATAGCTTTCGGTCTGCGACACAATTGTTAAGCAAAGTTCAGTCATAGGCTGGGTGACCAAAATTATTACCAGCAGTCGTTAACACCCACCAATCTGCACTGGGCCCGCGTGGTGGATAATCATCCGTTCTAACTACATTCGATTCGATTCCATCTTAATTATAAATTGAAAGTTTATGTTTTTTTTTTTTTTTTAGTATCTTAATAGCTAATTTGTTTTCTTACTTAATAAGTCAGCTTGAGGCAACCATTTTGAAATTTTGATGTTATCACTTAGCCCGTGCAATTCGTCCTTATTCCATTTCCATAATATATCGTATGGTAGTTTGGAGAAGACGTTTATTAATATCTGAATTTTGTGCGGAGGCAGCAAAGTTGGATCGATATTAGTCCCAAAACTCGCGTAAATAACTCCGTGTTTAGAGGAATCGAGATATGATTGGAAATCCTGAATAACAGCAATAACAAAATTTTACACAGAATTACCTGAATTATACCTAAATAAATATACCTATTAGTTAACAACATCCTGCTTTAACTTTGGTCATATAGGTCAGAGATAACCAGATGATTTTGATAAACTTGTTGTAGTGGAATAGATAGATGGATGAAGAGACACCAAGAAGGCAATCACCAACATGCTGGTGTGACGTACGTGTGAGTACAAACGGTGTTGATCTCACTATAAACTAAGGCGCTCTGACAGGCTGATGACAGGAAGACATGGAAGCAGTTAGTCAAGTCTTGTGCTAGAGCATCAAAGAACAGGCGTGACCTTCAGTTATAAAGTACATAACACTAACAAAAAAATTAACAACATTCTCTTGCCTTTGCTAAAATTTGTAAAATGAAATACAAGCAATATAATCTTAAGTACAGTTTCAAAACTTTCTTTACGGACACATTTATTTCACTTACTTTTGGTAATTTCCTTTCAGGTTGCTGGTGCAATCCTCCTAAGTATATAACATTTGGTGGCATAGGACGATTCATTTCCCAAATTGAATGAACATTTAAAAACACTAACTCAACATTTTTCTTCAACTCACTGAGCTTAGGTATTTTTGCACCAATTAATTTTTGCACTATCGTATCAGAACCAGTTTCAAAGTCCTGAGCTATTTTTTGGAACTGATAATAAATATACAATTGCTGTAATTTATCCCAAATTGTCAAATTGTAAATTTTCTGATAAATTGGATAGGGATACAGCAAGGGGTGAGATGGTGCTCCAACAATATTAGCAACATCAGGTACTGTTCCCAAAGAGCTTATCTGGATCGCAGGCACTTTGAGTACATGGGAGAAAATTAAAGCTGACAAACAAAATGCTTCATGAATCAGAAGATCAAACTTCTTTTTACCACTTAAAATTATTTTAACTTCTTCATGTTGTAATTGTTTTTCAACAACTTTTAACATTGTTCCAAACGCAACCCTTAATTGTGGAATAATAATATCATTATTGCTTCCTCGTATGACATTTGACGCGTCCATTCCTTTTCGCCAAATATCATGAGAAACATCGTAAAGATCGATTTCAGTAAGATTAGCAGGTGCATCACTTTTGCGATATACGGGGTGCGTGGTCAAAACCACCACTTCATGACCTCTCCTAATTAGTTCTAGAGTCAAAGGTCGAAACACTATTTGGTGACTGATAGACGGTGATGGATACACTGCCAATATTCTTGCTGCATGATTTTTTACCACTACAACTGATAAAAAAATTAAGCACAAAATGTGTGGCATCACTGTTTGTCTCTATCGTACAATCGGTGTCAAATAACATTCTATTAGCATAATCCATTGTTTATATATTGTATTCACCAAAAAGAAAAAAATAAAGCTCTGTCAATTGATGTAAATGTTCACTAATGAAAAACAACTCATATTCATAATCATTTGAATAGTATCAAGTGTACAAGTTGAGTTTCTATCTGATATTTCATTTATGAAAAGATCAGATAGAAATTAGTAATTATTACAGTTGTAATTTTACTGCACATCATAAGCCCTTTTACGTTCCCATTGCAGGCCTTCCTTAAGGATGGTTAAGGAGGATAAGCCATGACCCCCACGCCCAATATAGATTGGATGGTATTAACGACCGTAAATACAGCCAGTGCCAACGTTTAACGTGTCTAACAAAGCACGGAGTAGCTCGAGATAATAAATTTTGGTCACCCATCCCGAGTTTATCCACTACACCACCGAGCTACCGAGTAATTTTACTGCGCACACAATCTATCATTATGATCTCTTTCTTCTTTGCTGTGAAATCTGTTTCTCATTCATTGACTAGTAGGTATGGCATCTGCACTACACTGTTTGTGTCAAGCATTACCAAAATTAGTGAAGATTGTAAACTATTATAGTTAAGAGCGTGAGAAGCTGTAGTCGAATTTTAGTTATTGAACTGTTTCTTTATATTGTCACTAATTTCATTGTTTCTAAAACCAATTGATCAACGATTCCGAAGTTGTTGGGAAAGATCACATACAGTAACAAAACCGCTTTTTTTCCACCTTAGTAAATATGATATATGAGCAAAATGTATATGTATACCGACTTATTAGAATTGTTTATTCTATTGTTCGTAGGTTTTTCCACTGAATATAAAAATAATGTTTATGTGGTGTTTATCACGAGCGCACACAGTTGACGTTACGCCGTTTGTCACGTCTCAATGACTCATATGTAATAGAAGTTAATTAAAGTTCATAAAGTATTTGAACGTTACCATTAATAGTAAGAAAACAGTTACTAGGTATTAATATAACCTTCGTTTACTGCATTTTGGATTACATTTTATATCTCTTTATGGCAATAAGAATTTATTGAATAATATTAAACTATTGCGTTAAAAGTAGTGATAGAATAAATAAAAATAATAAAATTAAACCTTTATCAAAAAGAAAAGGTCTACTTCTTTGAAATACTTTGCTATTTGGCTGTTTTTTCAAAATAACACAGCTATTGTAAGTCATATTGCTTAATTAAAAAGTAACGCTTTAAACGTTTTATTTTAAAAATTAGACCAGTTAACTCTAATCATACATGGTGACCATCATCGAATTCAATTGTCATAGTCAAAATACTTTTTATTAGCTGCCAGTTAATAAGTATCTGCAATACTAATAGTTACGCTAAAATAAAGAAGGATATCTTTACTATTGATACAATGCCATGCCTGTGGCTGGATATTTTTACTATAGGCGCGCTGCAAAATCAACACATCTTGTACATTTGTGACATGATATTTAACATATAATTTTAGTAATCGATTAAAGGATGTCAATCAAACTGACATAACTGGCGCAGACATTCTCATTAAATCTCTGCATTAGGCTATAGCCTTTCAATTATCTCCAAATAAAATATCATGCAGGTATTTTCTTTTATTACAAAATAAAATGATGAGATTTGTCATGATCAATTTTTCTTTTACGGTGTAATTAATAATCGTGAAGATGTAATTAATAATCTAAAAAAAATGTGGAAAAAAATATTTTACCCAAAAAGTAGTTTGCGATACATTTAAATTCCAAATTATCTCCAAGCATGGTCTGAAGAAACAAACTGCCTCTGCAATATAACTCTTAATAGTAATAAGAACACCGTCATTTCAAACATAACATTATTCATTGCATTATTTACGTACAAAATTTTAAATCAAAATCATTATTATAATACCAATATGTTTCTGTCCATGTAGGTGACGCTCGCAATAGCCCAAGGCAGCAAAGGTTATTGACAGCGTGGTTAATACATAGCCGATATTTCATAATAAATTAAATAAATAAAATGAAATATAACCAGATTCAATTATTTTAGGTTGATAACTTGTCATTTTATAGGTGTATTAACTTGATTTTAATTTCCCGTTAATCTTTTTTACTCCAATTAATTTATACACTATTAATATTATAGCTACTATTATTATCATGCAAATTATCAATAAATAGAAAACTAATTCCAGCTCCAGGTACTCTGTCCAGGACATGTTTGCTGCAGGTGAGCGCAGGTGTTTAGCTCCACCGTGTCGTATCACATACTCTGTCCACCATACAGCTCGTTCTAACGGTGTCTGAGGCTGATCGTCAATTATCCTCTTCAAACGTATAATGTTTCTTCGATAGCTGGAGAAAATACAAAAGTAAAAGTAAGTGAATTTAAATGCAATATAATCAATGCCCTATTTGGGAAAAAATATCAATTCTATTTGAAAATAATTAGGAAAATAGTAATTGGTAAGTATTAAGAATATTCAGTATGTATGTAAGTAATTAAGAATATGGTAAAAATTATTTATTTGTAATCGATAACAATTTTAGAATAAAAGATGTTAGTGTTCACTGTTTCGAAATTGGAACTGATAATGTCAAAAAATACATAGAAAGCGTTCTGCGTGACTTCTTTTCATTCTTTATTTGCATTTTCTTTCTAACTCTTTTTTTTATCAAACAATTTTTGCTACACGTCCATTACATCAAGAATATTCGCATTCTTTCGTACAGGACTATTTCTTCTCCAGAGAACATCTTTCACTAAACATTTTAGTTTTATTAACGTAGGTACGAAGGTAGGTAATATAAAGGTGTTTATTTTTTGGTAACTACCTGTTGTTGCTTAGCATTTCATTGATAGCATTTCTGAATTTCTCCTCATCAATAGTCTCCATATCTACTTGCACACCAATGCCATGGTGTACGTATTGTTCTACATTATACCACTGATCTCCCAACATAGGTATACCGATCAAAGGAACTCCAGCTGTGATAGCTTCATCAGACGACTGCAAACCTCCTTGAGTAATAAATAGCTTGACTTTAGGATGCTCTTAAATTATAAATACTTTGGATTTTAAAAATACACATTTTCATCCTAATAATGATAAAGAGACCATGCATTAAAACATGAATATTGAAATATTAAATTATCTTGTGAAATGGTTTAGTATTTTAATTTGATATTACGTTTTAATTATTTATAAAGAACTTTAAGCAGATAAATGAACTACATTCATTTACTACATAAATTTAAATAAATTTTATAAATGCAAAAGAAAATTTTTATAAATATGTAACTTAAGAAATTATTTGAGTAACTGCATTGTTTTCATAAGAAAATAATATTTAATATTATTTCCAAAAAGTTAATATAAATATTTAAAAACGTTTTTATGCTATCCTTTCAAAAATAAGATTTTCCCAATTATTGGCACACTTTGACCAATAATTTACACGGGGCTAGACCCATTTATTGTCATTTCAGATTGCGCAATAAATACAGAACAAGAATAAATTAAAAAGGCTGATAAATAGGTAATCACATTTATTTATGTAGAAAGATAGAACTGAATCTGATTAGCAATCGTTTACTCTATTTAAATAAGTTGCAACACTGAGAAACTAGATGTTTTCTTATAATAACATTTAAATCAGTAAGTTGCCAATAATTAGTGGGGTGCCGAAATAAGATCAGTTTACCCTATATATTGTTCCAATAAAACTAAGTGCATGTTTAATTGCTTTTAACATAGAAGATATTTATGAGAAAAGGTATAATAAAAAATAAACAAATCATATTCGTTAATCGTGATAGCTATTATCACGATAATACTTTGAGCAATAGACTTAAATAGGCACGTTGATGAATTTGAATTGAATTCGTCCATGGTATAAGCGTTACACTAATTCAATTTTGAGAAATATTAGGGCCACCTTTAGAAGTCAGTGGTGTTATTGTATTTCAGCATTGTTATTATATTCTTTTTTTTTTCTTTTACCTATTCACAGGAAATTACGAATGAAAATGACATTAGCCATAACACTTGCTGAAACGCGACTAAAGTGAAACTCAGGCGATTGCCTTGCTTTTTTGTCGCCAATTTTCTACGCAGATAACCCATCTAAACTTAAAAAAAAATTGTCTTTAACTTGATTCATTATAACAAAAGGAAAAAAAATGAACATGATGTCACAATAACAAACTATTCAAGATCTCAATTAAAGCATTATGTTAAGTGTTTCTTTTTAAACATTCTTTATAATAGAAACCATTATACTCTTTAGTTTCGTAATATTTAAATAAACTCGACTAGTGCAGCACTTGAAACATATTACTTTTGAAAAAATCATGAATTTATTTATTACTCACGTTTTACTTTGTAGGCGTAGATCGAAAATTATTATATTTTCGATGATCCCGCTTCTGAAGCTATTGGCCGACATCAGAACTTAGGACGATGAATTGATTTAAACCAATATCACTTGATAAATACTTTATTTTACACTGACTCGCCGTTCATTGGCGTTACATTTCTGCCATCTTTTATTCTATTGCCAACAATAAAAAAACAATACTGTCATGGTTTATTCGCAAGATGTCGTTTTCAATACAATCAATGTTCTAATTTTTGAGTTTCTTACATTTAGGTTTGTAAATTATTAAATTGAGTTTGTTTAATCATAATTACCTTTTCGAAATACATAAACATATAGTTGAACGACATTAGAAGTTACTTTTTATAATTAGTACCCTTTTGTAACATTGTATACTTAAATCAATATCATACTTTTAATACGCAGTGATCAATATTAATCCTTTATTTGTAACAATATTAATAAAATACAATAAGTAATAATAATCTGTACTGTTTACGAATACAAATACATGAATATGTGCAATCATGGAAATTACGTGTTTTAATACCTTGTAATATTTCGTACAAATATATTGTCAAGTCA